CTCTCTCTCTCTCTCTCTCTCTCTCTCTCTCTAAGCTGAAGATCTGAAGCGAAATGAACAGGAGTATGAAGCACTGAAGAGATGCACAGGAGCATACCTTCCCTTTTACTCTGCCTCCTGAAATAACGTGCAAGTGGGCCGTGAAGGCACACGGGGATGTGGGCAGCTGCCGCTCAACCACAATCAACGTGGACAGCCTTGTGCTTCCGTAGTCCACACCCAAACCGGTCCTGTCCGGTCTGTTGGGGTGGCCACTTACCATAGGCAATAACTGCTCAACCAAAAAATGTGTTTTTGCAACCCTGTGACATTCTTGAGTAGTCTGTTCCAGCTGTTAGTGTTTAGAATTCTGTGAAGTTCGGCATACACCTCTCGCCTGCCCTGTGCATGTCATACTCTATCCTGCCCTTCACAAGTCTCTTTCCTGCCCTTCACCCTTCACCCTCCACCTCCCCCTATCCCATGTTACTATAGAACTCTGCCTTCTATCCCTTTCCCTCCACCCCCCCTCCACCCTCCCCTTTGCTAGAATACATATGCAAGGAAAATGAGCAATAGCGAGATGACAATATTCAGATTGCACAATCACATTGAAAGCCAGATCGTATCCCAGCGTTCAGCAAGCAGCATTGCACCAATGTGGCCCCAATGGAGAATTGAAAAACTGAAAACCAATGTCAATTAGAGCTTGCTCTCGCCACCACCAACATATGTATCCAGGTCCTTCTCCCTACTTGGCGCTCGACGCCCAGCCTACTCGCTACACAGCTACTACTAGCCTACTAATTGACCATGCAACTGTTGACGTCAGCAGTCAACGAAGTACTTGAAGTTGTCGCCCATAGCAGACCATCGCCAATACCAGGTATGTGCCCTCACATCATCATCATCATCACCATCCTTCTCTTTCTCTTTCTCCCTTGTCTGACACCCATGTCTTCCCTCTGTAAACCCCAAGACCACCCCTGCGCAGCCAGCTATGGAGGCTGGGCTATGGCCCTGCCCTCAGCAGCGCCCTGCTTCCACGCACGACCGCATGTGCGGTGCACCTTACTCCAGCGCTAGCAGCCAGCCTACCAGCATGAGCTCCAGCAGTGCTGCTGCCAGCCAGCAAGTGCACGAATGCCAGGCCAGGCAGCAAGCTCTTTCGTATATGGAAAGAGCCTGCCTCGTTCGGCAGCCTGGCTGGCCTGGGCTACGGACCAGAAGCTTCCGGTAGGCTCCAGGATGCTGCGCCTCTGATGCAGCTACGGGGCCTCATTCCGTTGGGCCTCCCAACTGTCTGTGTATGAGGCTGCGGTTCTCGCCCAGGGCCTGCACTTTAGGAAAGTCCCGGAAGGCCGTGGAATGTCATTGCTGTTTGGCCTGTGTTTTCCTCGACCAACTGGCGGGTCACAACTGTCTGGACCCCAAATATGAAATTGACAGCCGAGGGCCTCTTGCGATTTGTTAGGCCCGCCTTCACTTAGGGCGGGCGCTTATGCAACAGGGGCCCCGTAGGCCTGCCGAGGACCCAGATCCTTGCATTCCCTCCTCCTATACTTCGATAGTCCTGTGAGAAATCTTCTATTCTGCAGGCATATTCCCCTTGAGATCTCTTTCGTAGCCTGCAATAACTTGAGGTGCAGTTCTCATGACTTCTTCTCTGGTGAACCACCGATCTTCGGTGGGATCCAAATGATGTCTGAATCTGACACGATATCGCATTCTCGGTTTAGGAGGGCGGCCTCATCTCTTTCGTAGCCTGCAATAACTTGCGGCGCAGTTCTCACGAGTTCTTCTCTGGTGAACCACCGATCTTCGGTGGGATCCAAATGATGTCTGAATCTGACACGATATTGCATTCTCGGTTTAGGAGGGCGGCCTCTGCACAGACAGTTCAGATGATCTTACCCAGACCCTGTCCCCTACCTGGAAGTTAGAAGGTCGTCTGTGTTTCTTTTCAGATGCAATCATAGCATCTTGAGCTTTCCTCATATGTTCAACGGCCTGCTGCAGCATCTGTCCATACTTGACAGCAAATTCCAAGCTGCC